AAAGGAGCAAACAAAGTTAGCATAACATAAATAGGGAAACAGGAAAATACAGAATAACAAAAAGGATAGAGTAATAATAAATAAACAGATCTCTTAAAGGCGAAATGATTGAGAGTAACTTGTGGCTGTGACAGAGTTCACCTCTTCCTTGAAGTTCAGATCATAGGTTTTTTTATCAGACCCATAAAACTCAGATGCAGCAACATCCATTCCAATAACCACCTAGAATAATAGAAATGTTCAATTAGCCATCTTCTAACATCGAAAGAACAGAGAATGCAAGAGTATTGCTTATAAGGTGCACTAACTTTGCCTGTGTAACCAGCTTTATCAATGGCAGTCTTTAACAATTCAAGCCCTTCCTTGTTCTCCTGAACTTGCACAAAGATGACGTCAATTAACTGAAAGATAAACTAATACATATAAGACAGGGTAAAACCATGAGATTGACCTGAATGTTAGGAGCAAAACCACCTTCATCACCAACATTGGTTGCATCTTGCCCATACTTCTTCTTAATCACAGACTTCAAGTGATGGTAGACTTCAACACCCATCTTCATGGCCTCCTTAAAAGAAGATGCTCCTGTAGGGAGGATCATGAACTCCTGCAGACACACAAGAAAAAGAACATTAACATCAACAAATGACCCAAAACGGTCCAAAGAAATATTGAAATCTATACATACCTGCATAGCAAGTTTGTTTCCTGCATGTGAGCCACCATTGATCACATTGAAAGCAGGGACTGGAAGAACCAACTTCTTGTTACCAGCTAGGTTCGCAATGTGCTGCATCCAAAAGGCAGGTTTATAAGGTTCAAATGACATGAACTTAAATGGTTTTCACTTTTCATAGAAATTGCAATAAATCACCCAACCAAATTAAGTGGAAATCATTCTTTCATGACATGAAGATAATAGAATTCATTAATATTCAAAAACTTACATAAGTCTATAGAATGGGAGAAAACAAGTAAGGAAAACCAATGAGCCAGAGTGTACCTTATAAAGGGGAATATTCAGAACTTCAGCTCCAGCTTTGCAAACTGCAAGGGACACCGCAAGAATGGCATTTGCACCGAGCTGAACAAAGATTAACATTAAGACTCAAAACAAAAATTGTTTTAGAAAATAAATGACTCAACCAGCTAAGCTACCTTTTGTTTGCACCAACCCCACTCGTTTTGAGTTCCGTCTAGTTGTTGAACCATGAAATCATCAATTTCAGTCTGCTTAGTTGGGTCCTGTAGAAATCAGTTGACAACAGACACTTCAGAACAAAGTAATCTCAGACTTATTTCCTTAAGTTCACCACAATAACTAATGTGTAATGCCCTGTTTAGTTTAGTAACTAAGACGAGGCTTTACTTACATATAAAACAACTATTCTCAACTTTTTATGATATTTTTTTTACATCAGCTCATTCTTCATATATGATAATATCTTTTAAGGAATCAAAACGCAAATAATCATTACAACCAAAAGGAGTTCTAACGTCAAGTTTAAAAGTTCATTCAAACAATACCATTATTCATCGGTAGATAAAACAATACCACAATCAAATCAAAAGCAAAAACAAGTCAGCTACAACTGATCCAAAAAGAAAAAGAAAACAAGTAAGAGACAAACCTTTCCGATCAATGCAGGGCCGATAATCGCGTTAACATTAGCAACAGCCTATATATTTCGAGAAGAACAGAGAGTGAATAAGCTATACTTTTGAAAAAAAATGCCAGTAAAAATAGAAGCTAAAATGAAATAATAACTGACCTTTGATACACCTTTACCAAGGTAATCGGAACCTCCATCTCTCAATTCCAGAGCCTCGTAAATTCCTAAAACAAAAAACAAAAAACAGGTAAATAATTTTAATAAAAGTTTTTGAAATTAATTATTTAGATGATTACTGGATAAATTAACGTACCAGTGGATGCACCGCTAGGAACTGCGGCTCTAGCCTTTTTACCGTTCGATGTTTCCACATCAACCTATCATATTTAAAAAAGCTCCCCATTAAATTCGATTAGAATACTAAAACAACTGAATAAGTACCGAAAACGTTTATTCTATGCAAGCAGCGGTAAATGATTAGAAAAATCGACCGATTCAACTCGTTATATCGTTCAACCCAAAAGCAAAATGATCGAAAACAAATTTTTTAATCGGGAAATAAGTGACGACGATAAATACATATACACAGAGATCGGTGACAATAACAAGGCATAAAAAGTGAACGGAAATTAAGAGAGAAGATATGATGAAGAGGCGAACCTCGACCGTTGGATTACCACGGCTGTCAAAGATCTGCCTAGCTTTGACGGAAACGATTGTAGCAGCCATTAGATTAGAGCTTTTTTTTCTGAGATCTAAAGCAAGGGGAGTGTTTGAGAACGAGAAAGGGTGCTTCTTTTAAGATTAGTCACGAGAGTTTTATGGCGAACAATCGGAGTTAGGTATTTATTAGGAGGGTAGTAAGCTAACGATAGCCCTTGACTTCGAAAAGAAACTGTAGCCGTTGGATTTTGAGTTTATTAGGTTTAGAAGAAAAAATAATAATCTTTCAGGAAAATTAAACCATGCGCTTTTCTATCACGTGATGAGCACGGATTTTCCCCGTCTTTCTTTGGGCCGTTGTTTATATTTTTTGTCACGTGATGGCACACGATTTGCACTGATTTGTCATTCAATCATATTTAGGATGATTAAGGAGTTTAACACTTATGAGTAGTTTGAATTTAATTCGATTAAAATATAATTTGATTTGAATTCGAGCTCGACTCAAGATCTTAACGAACTGAATCGAGAAAAATCTAATTTTATTTGATGAGTTCACAAGCAATTCGTTAATTTTTTAATAATTTTTAGTAGTTATCTTAAAATAATTATTTCATTCAAAATATTACTAATTTAAAAATAGATAATAAAAATATGACAAATTATTAATCTATTAATTTTTAATCAATAATTTAAAATATTAATTAGTAATTAAACAAATTTAAAGTCTAAACTCCAAAATATAATTCATAATACATTAAAATAGTAATTAGAGTTTGATTTTTGTTGTAGTAAAATAGCATCATACACTCTTTTTTTAGTTAAATTTATTAATTTATATTCATATTAAGTTCTATATAGTATTAGTAGATTTTACTTATAGATAAAAAATAAAATAAAAATTTTGGTGAGCTTAACGAGCAACGGGACGAGCATCGAGGTTAATGAGCTTAACGAACAATGAATCGAGCAATAAATTTTCTTAACGAGAACAAGTCATACAAAAATTTTAACAAGCTTAACAAGTAACGAGTCGAGTCTAGCAACAAATTCTTTTAACTAAACTCGAGTATTGCTCGTCTCGCGATCGACTCGCTTGATAAATATTCATAATTGTATGGTTTGTTAAAAATAATTTATTTTTTCTCCATAATTTGCTTTTGAGTTTGCTCTCCATCACTATCAAATTTAAAATAAGTTCTTTATTATATTTTATCAAAAAAAATATTAAGTCCATCTATAATAATAATAAATAATTTTTAATTTTTTTCAAAAAAAATCATATATCTTTTATAGAGGCGTGTATATCTATCTATCAATCGGTGATATCTGATCTATTAATCGATTAATTTGGATCGGCTATTGCATAAGTAAGGGCGACCCTCCTAACCCAATTTGCTCAATTTACTATTGTCAATATTCAAATCTCTAACCTTAATTAAGAGATCTAATACCTCATCCAACTGGACCAACCGATTGTTTATCGTCTCTCCATCATTTTATGAAATGCAATTACAATATTAAAAGTTTCTGATTTTTTAGCTATAAAATAAATTTAAGTATAACTAAAGTAAGCACCAATAAAACAAACATACTAGTAGGGTGTGTTATCTGAAGGTTGACTGAAACGCCTTTGCCATATTTCTCTATCACTAATTACAGAAGAAGAAAACACGTAGATTCTTAGCAACACTAGTAGAATGATCAAAGTAGCTAGAGTTTTCAGAATGATTAATCGTTCTCGGAATATATTTTGAAGATTTTTCAAACAAAGTATAACCGTACTCGAGCCATTGTACACCTATTATTTTGAGAAAACTGTTAACTTTATTTTAGTTTACTAATAGGAAACGAAAAAAATAAGAAAATTTACACACCCAAACTTTTTTAAAATGAAATATTAAAATTTTGAACTCATTTTTTAATTTTTAGATTCTGTCACTGGCCTGTTTCAGTTTATAAATCTTTCACAACACAAAATTTAGGGGGAAAATTCAGAAGAAATATTATTATCATTGGTAAATCAATGTTAGAAGAAGAACTAGAGGTCTTGAATTTGAGGTTGAAGAAGGCTGACTGATTTTTGCTATTGGTACGATGGAATCATTAGTCACTCAAATTACTTGATCCTTGATAATATTTTTAATATACATATATATATATATATTCTATTTTTAATTTTATATTTAATAATTATATATATATATATAAATATCATATTTATTAAAATTATTTTACTCTTTTATATATAAATAAATCGATATATTTTTAACACTTAAATTATAGTATCATGTATTATTATAAATTTAATTTTTTACATGATATAAATTATATAATGTAATTAAAATAAAATAATATATATTTTATTTTTAATTATTGATTAAAGGACCAACATTCACATTTTCGAAACTAGTTTGTCATTGGAATTGTAATAATGAATTTGATTCGAAATCGAAAAATTAATAACTAGGAATTTTTTGTTAACCTTTTTCTTGACCTGTGTACTTCTTCAACCATTAGATTGTATAAGGCTGTTAGAAGGTTTGAGTTTTGAAAATGGTCATTGTTTGCTGCAGTAAACACTGAAGATAATACTTTTATTATTAAAAAAACGGCGATTGCAAACAATTCACTTCAAAACCATTCCTATAGTACCCTACTTGGTGTCTAAACCATGAAACTGCCTCCATTTGCTCCTTATCATCCCTGTAACAGCATGAAAATTTAGTGCGTTTCCCTTAACCTCTTGGCTTTTAAGTGTTGGGGACGATGGTGCCGACGTATCCGATTCCGACGATGAAGAAAGCGATTGATTGAATTATAAGATATATGAAGTAGTAGTTTCTCCCATACATATAATCATAGCACCCGCAGAAGAAGAGGAATGCTCCAATAAAAAGCTCTAACAAGTGGAGTCTGCCAACAGGAAAACAGAATTAGTATACATGTTTGCTGATTTTAAAGAGAGCTTAAGGGTTCTTTGTTTTACCTGTCCCCAAACCTGAAACGAGGTTTCCTTGGTGCTTTAGTGGTTGCTTTAGCCTTGAGGGCATCTCCGAGTTTCTCAGTGACGATCCATTCGTTTACTGATCTGCCGGCTTCGAATAAGCCGATGAAGGTAGCCTTGGTCCGATGCAATGACATCACGTTTTCAAAGAGGATCCAATAAAACAACAAGTGAACTGACCTGAAAAGAGAAACATGGTTAAGGTAAATGCTGCAATGTCTTCTTCTAACATTGATTTGGGAAGAACTGAGACCTTGGAGTTCCGACAGCATTGAGAATCGTAATAATACAAGGAACATAAACGGCTCCCCACTTTGGAACCTCAACTTCAGGTACAAGAACACTTAAAGGTAAAACAACGCAGTAAAATATGAAAGTAACAATGTGGCCAACAATCTTTCTGACCACGAAGAAGTTGTAGATCACATATATCTTCTTCCATATGGCAACTTTCTGCGGTAAGTTTAACCAGAGAATGGGTTAAAATCCAGTAAGCCAACAAATTTCTTAAAGTTTTAACTCCTTAAATCTACCAGTCTAACCTTGTTTGTAATAATCTCCTTAAACATTTTCCTGAAAAGATTAGCAGGACCACAAGACCATCGATGCTGTTGGTGGCGAAAGGCATTCAAGGTACTAGGCAATTCATTTTTCACCTATAGTCACAGCATAAATTGGATTGTTTAGCTGTTAAAATGTCGAATTTGATCTCGATCTTGACCCGATTTTATCATGTATAGATATCTTAATGCGTTTGAAACTCGATTTTAGAATACCTGTGCGGTTCCAAGGTAAAGAAATTTCCAGCCTTTCAGACTAGCTCGAATTGATAAATCCATGTCTTCCACTGTAGTTCTATCTTTCCATCCTCCTGCTTCATTTATAGAAGCAATTCTCCACACTCCAGCAGTTCCTATACAAGTATAATCTATATTAATTTCCATAGTCTCTATTTTTTTGTTAACGTTGTTCATATTTTTCATTACCATTGAAGCCAAAGAAAGCATGGCTGGAAGAGCCCACTTCTTGTTCGACAGTGAAATGATAGTCCAGTGACATTTCTTGCATTCTTGTCAGCAGGCACTCATCAGCATTCACTGTAATTCATTAATGAAAGATCTCTTGTTTATCATAATGATGAAATCAATGTCCTACAACACTAACGTTTGAAATCTTTTGTTAATATTGATATTAGTAGAGGATTACCGAATATCCAGCGAGCTTGAACCAAAGCAAGTTCAGGATTATACATAAGGAAAGGAATGGTGCGTCTAAGGAAATCGGATTCCGGCTGGAAATCGGCGTCGAAAATGACCACATAATCACAACGTTTAGCGTACTCGTGTTTCAGGCCTTCTTTTAGAGCCCCTGCTTTGTACCCGGTCCTATTCCCTCGGATCTCGTACCTGATGTTGATGCCTTTGTTTGCCCATCTTTGGACTTCCAACTCCACCATTTGCTTCATTTTTGTTTTTTCAGTAATGTCAATCTCCTTGCACGAAAACAAGATAACCCAAAACCACGAAACTCACCTTAATTGTATAGTCAGTTGAATCATCAAGCACTTGAATAAAGATCCGATCAGCAGGCCATGAGAGGTCACAAACAGCTCCAATGGAGAGTTTATAAACCTGCATTGTTGTAATCAAAATTAACCACTGGGAAAAAAAGAAAAACGATTTCCGGGAATGAAAATTGAAAAGTACTTCTCTTTCATTGTACATCGGAATTTGAACCAGAATCATGGGATAAGCCGAGTGTCCTAACTCCGTATCGTCTTTCAAGGGCTCCCATTTGTACCTTACCTCCGGCTTTCGACCAAGTAGCTTCATGAACATTATCACGATTCCCATGTAAACCCTCTCCATGAAAAGCATCAAAGACATGATCAAACAAACGACAACAGCGATTCTCAACAACGGTACGATCAACGGCTTTTTGATTTGACCCCAAATCAATACCATTTGCATGGAGATATCATCTGCAGTTCCCTGGATCAATCCATCAGGAAGAAGTGTCGTCGCAGAAAAACGATCCATTTACTAGTTATAGACCGAATGCGAAGCCAAGAGCAAGAGGTGAAATTGTGCTGTAAACAGGATGATGGAACAAAAGTCAAAAACGCTAGATCTACTTATGTACTATAAAGCATTGTTTGCAAAAAAGAGAATACGTCTCTTTTTCCTGCTTCTGTTATCTTGGAGAAGAACAGAAACAGAATACTTGAAACGAGTACTCGAATGAGCCAAAAAAAGTTGAAGAGTGAGTGATGATTGGAGAGAGAACGATGCCTTTTATAAGCTCTTCGTCTCGTTATTTTTTATTTCTATTTTTATGAGGTTTTGTTTCCAACCACAAAATGTGCTGATGTAGACGAAGTCAACGGGTAAAGGAGAGGATCGGGGGATTGCATTTCCTTTAGTTTCCTAATGGTATTCCACCGGCGACTTCGGCTCATATATTTCGATTTTCCCACCTGATATTGCAATTTTTTTTGTAGTGATTTATGACTAAAGCATTAAATATTTGTATCTGTTTCAGAATTTCATATTCTATTTTATATATTTTGTATTTTTTTAAGCCATGATTTTGTATTTTTAATTTAGAGTTGTGAATTAGGTTGTTCTTACTGTTTTTTCTTTAATGAATTTTTTTCTTGGAAAAAAGAGAGAGGAATGGGTCTTTTATTCTTAGGTTTGACAATAGTTTTAACATTTTATAATAGGAGATATTATTTTTGTGTTAGATTAGTTTGTGTTCAACTAATTGCTTCAATTAAGAGATGACTATCAAACTCAGTTGGTAGAGCATAAGGTTCTTAACCTTAAGGTCGTGGGATCGAGTCCCACGGAGGACATTTCATAATTCGGAGGTCTTCTACGGAAGCTGCTCTCAACCTGGTGTTGGGGGCAGCCTACTATCTTACCTCCCCCTTATCCTATTACATATGGGAACAAAGGACACCCATTTTAATTGCTTCAATTAACTTGTTGGTCTTTGATCTTGCGCATAAGTGAAACAAGGACTAAAGTTGATCAAGTGTTTAAGCTCTAATCTCTATGTATGGAGTTTAAACCCTCTAAACATAGCAATTTTTTTAAGTAAAACAATATTTTTATATGATCTCAATCATGTGAGTTGTCAAGACGCATCGTATTCAATTAAGGTGCTTATCTACGGAAGCTGCTCTCAATCTGGTGTTGGGGGCAGCCTACTATCTTACCTCCTCCTTACCCTATTACATATGGGAACAAGGGACACCCATTTTAATTGCTTCAATTAACTTGTTGGTCTTTGATCTTGCACATAAGTGAAACAAGGACTAAAGTTGATCAAGTGTTTAAGCTCTAATCTCTATGTATGGAGTTTAAACCCTCTAAACATAGCAATTTTTTTAAGTAAAACAATATTTTTATATGATCTCAATCATGTGAGTTGTCAAGACGCATCGTATTCAATTAAGGTGCTTATCTAGTTGGGAGTGAAATTCAAAATGGACAATTTTAATTGGGTGGAAATGTAGTGTTAGTTGATAGAATAATTTTGAATGAAAATAGATGGTAAAAGGATGATAAATTAGTGATGGGATTTAAGGTTTGTACGGTGGAACATGAAGTAAATGAATCCATTTTCCAAGGGGATGGATTTTGTGCTTCCAAAGTCTTTAAATGAAGTTCATGAATCCATAACATTTAATTGTAAATGAATTCATTTTTCTTCTAGAATGGTCAAATGCATGAATTAATTGCTTCTCATTAGTCTCCTCAAGCCTATATAAAGCCTTCTCCGAATCCTCATTTACATCGCAAATCAGATTTGCAAGTTCTTTCACCTCTTCCTTTGTTGGTCGAATTTCACCTATAAACAACACAAAACACGTGTTAGTGCCATTAATTACCAAGTAAATGCGCAAATAAACTTGTACTAAGTATATATTAGTACAAATTATATGCACAACAAATATGTAAAAAATCTAGATAACATTAACATGCAAATAATCTAACATGTGTTCTAAGATGCAAACAATATTCTTTCATGCAAACTCATGCACGTAAAGCAAGTTGCATGGCTCAATTGGGCGCTTAAAGCCTTGTTATTAATATTCCAATTTTCATAGAACATGTTCCCCGTTACTTGTCGAAATTTTCTTGTTCTAGGTCGAGTGATAGGTCCTTTAGGGAGTTTTCCTGGATCGTTCCTGGTAGTGATCTCATCAGTTCCGGGTCTTTCGGACAACAAAATGTGTTGAACCACGCTTTGAGATTTTGATATATCAAAAGTAAATATTTTTAAAGAAATTTTAAGATTACTTTTAATTTGGTTTTCATGCTTATATTCAATTTAACCGTTCGAATATAGAAATTCTTCTTAAGGTCAAAAACTCCATTTTTACTCCTTACTCTTTTGAATTTTCAAGTCATATACCGTAATTAATTTTTCAAACATTTTTACAAAGGGTTTTGGAATTTAATAAAGTCAAAAATCAATTTTTTGCCTTGCAGTACCGATACTGCAAGAACAATATCGATATTGTTCATGTGGTACTGATACTCCCTTTGTGATTTTGGCAAATGAAAATTCTAATAGTAAATTTTGTACCGATACTGCTCAAGTATCGATACCAATATCGATACTCATGTTGGAGTACTGATACTACCCTCTCACCAACAACTAGATTTTTTTGTATTTAATGCAAGCAGTATCGATACTCCAAGCCCGAGTTTCGATACTCAAGGCGTCTGGGCAACATTTATTGCAAAAAAATTCATCCCAACAACTTTATGAACTCCCACCACAACCCAATTAAATGAAGGGGGTATAAAAACAAGATTCCAAGTCATATGTGAAGATAAAAGAATATAGAGAAAGCCAAAGCAATCACGAAGAGTTAAACATTCAAGTCAATATTCTTAAACGTTCTTTTTTGCTTTCAAGAACACTTTTGTACTTCTTTTTTTCATTCTTTCTAGTGTTCTAGTTGTTCTGAATTGTGCAAGCACATACCTTGTAAGGGTTTTTCAAAGTTTTCAATTTGTAATTTCTTCTTAGGAAAGGTGTACACTTGAGACTTTGGGGTATAAGTCTAAGTGTGTTGTAAGGTTACACCTTGTCCTAAAAGGTTTGAACAAATTAGTGAATTTATTGAAATCCTTAGTGTGGAAGCTAAGGTAGTGGATGTGGACTTCACTGAAGAAGTTGAACCACTATAAAATTGCTTGTGTCAAAATTTTCATTTTATTGCAAAAAGCTTCCATATTATATTAATTGTCAATTCACCCCTCTTGGCTATTTTATCCTCTTGATTGACTCAATAAATGATATCAGAGCTAGACTCATTGAAAGATTTTACAACCTCTTGAGAATATCCTAAAAGAGGCAAGTCATCATTCTTGTCATTCATGGCCTCTACATCAAGTTTCAACATCGTTAATGATTTTCATCCCATCAATAAGCCTCCATACTTTAATGGAGCCAACTATACCTATTAGAAAAATAGGATGATGCTCTTCATTCAAGTAAGTGATTCGAGAGCATGGAGCATTATGATGAGTGGACATTCTACTCCAACTAGAGCTATGGTGGAATGAAGTGAAGAAGAAAGAAGTTTGTTCCAACTTAATGCAAAGACAATGCACATTCTATTTTGTGCACTTGGATCCGATGAATATGGGAGAGTTTCATCTTGTTCCAATGCCAAGGAGATTTGGGACAAACTTGAAGTCACTCATGAAGGAACTAATGATGTAAGAGAAACTAAGATTAGTCTTCTTAAACATAATTATAAAAACTTCAAGATGAGATCAGATGAGGATATTAAATCTATGATCAATAGATTTTCGGTTATTGTCAATGGTCTTAAAGGTTTTGGTGAAGCCATCCCAAATGAGAAATTAAAGAGAAAGATGATCTATAGTCTTCCTAATTCATGGTAATCCAAGAAGAACACTATAATATAAGCAAAAAATCTCAAGACTCTCACTCTTGAAGAGTTAATTGGGTCATTTCTTACTCATGAGATGATGATGAAGGAAGAAGATGAACAAGAGAATAAATATGAAGAAAATAAGGAAATGGAAAAGAAGAAAAAGGTTGGTGTTGTTCTCAAGTCAACAAAAGAATAGAGTGACTCAAATGAATATGATGAAGATGAAGAAATGACTATGTTTTCCAAAAGATTCATGAGGTCCAACAAGGGAAGAAGATTTTAAAGAAAAGAGGGCTTTAAGAATGAGTCTAAGAAGAATGATCTTATTATTTGCTATGAGTGCAAAAAGCTCGAACATGTCAAATTTGATTGTCTACAACTGAAGAAAAAGGGATCCTCCAAGAAGAAACACAAGACACATGTAGCTACATGGAGTGATGATGAGTCCTCCAATGAAGAGGAGAAAGAAGTAGACAACTTGTGTCTCATGGCCATAGAAGATGATTCTAAGGTAACCTCTAATTCATCTATTTCAAATGAGAATTCTTTTGATGAATTTCAAAAGGCTTATGATGAATTAGCCGAAAAATTTGAGAACATGATTTCCAAGCATAATAAATATACTTCAAAATTGAAAGATAAAAATGTTCTTATTTCTAAGACTAATCTTGAACTTGAAAGTCAAGTAAAAAAAATATGCAAGTCAAACTTGAAGAGTTTGAAAAGAAAAATAATACTTGCATAACTTCCTTTCAAAAGTTCATGATGGTCATCAAAAGAAACTTGATGATCTTAAAGCTTCTTTTAACCATATTGGGACAAAAAGATTTGAAAAATGTGAACATTTAAAACCCAACTATGTTAAAAATAACTTTAATTATTACAAACATAGAGGTCTCCAAAGAACATTATTTAGAAAATTTATTAAAAACATATGGGTCCCCAAAGGACTCATTGCCACTAATGACAAGGATATACTTGAAAAATGGATACCCAAGGGGACAATATTATTGGGAACTAATATTAATGGACCAAAAGGAATTTGGGTACCAAAAATCAAAACTTAATTTATGTTTGTACGTAGAGCATTGCTAAAAGGTACAAAGTAAAAGTTCAAAC